GTGGAACGATGTTGGCCATTATCAGGTCGATAATATTGACCACCGTGGAGTTCAGGGAATCCTTCAGCACATCTGGGGGAACGGTGATTACGCCAGTCTCATCAATCTGGATGGGATCCTCCTCAGTGCCATGGAATCGGCACTTGAGGTCACAAATTCTGTCCAGGAGGGCCTCGTTCAGCGGCCTAACGAGCCCAAAGATGTGCGGGGGCAGCTCCTTCATGTGTTGACGGATCGCAGCATCCAATGCTGCGACACCGAGATTAACCCCTGAAAAGGGTTAGCTATTGCCCTGAAATGCCAAACTGGCTTCAAAGACGATACATACCTGACGGTCTTCCCAGTGGTTCGTACACGGTATTTGACCCGGTCCCCTGAATATGAAAAGCACCGACATCCTTCCGGCAGTCGAGTCAGTTTGTAGCCGACGAAAATAGCCAATGACATCCCCGTAGGGGCTCGGGCACTTACGGTGGTTCCTCCACCGATGTCGCATACTGGAATACGGTCATCTTCCTGCTTCACGAGTCAACACTAGTTAGCTGATCGGCCATGTGGAGGGGAAAGAAACTAGGGTGGTGGGGTTTGGGAGGCTTTTCACTGACCGCTTGAGATTCCTTCTGATGTGTGAAATATAGAGCAGCAGCTTCTGCTTCGGTAAGGAAAAAAAGATTGTCAGCTTCTTTGGACCCGAAGCCTGCGTCTCGCACTGCTTTAGCAAAAACTTTCTGGTTGTCGGCAGACCAGCTAGCTGGCTGGCTAAACCAAAAATCGGTCCCGAGTGCGGCCGAATGACGTGGAGAGACAATCAAATTCTGTATCTCTGTATAGAGTTGACGAAGATAGTCGGAAACAAGCTGCTCGGATGAAACACCGTCTGGCAATGCTGGATTCGGGGTCTCGCGCAGGATGGGGTGCTCCGGGTCGTAGAGGAATAATTTGAGCCACTTGAAGACCGGATCCTTTCTGCTTCGTGCATCTTGGCCCCATGTTACACTCCTGTCTTGAAGGTATGCCAGCATGGTTGGAAAAATATGCTTGTGTTCGATGACCAAGGGCCTGATGATGTCGGGCGTGCTAGATCGCCTTTGGTTCCAGAAAGCGTACGACACACCTATATTCGATGTGTGATTCGTTAAAAGAGGGATATTCATCATGTGTGATTTTGAAGAGGGTCTTACAGGTTTTCTCCGTTCCAAAATCAACCCCAACAATCAGTTTTTTTTTCATTGAAGGTGATTGCATGGCGAAGATGATCGAGTTTGAAAGAGTCTTCAACTATGGTGGGATGCAGACAGGACGATTGAAGGGAATTCCGTGGTATGACGTGAATAGAGATGAATGCTGAATGGGAGATATATAGAATCAATGAAGGCTAATCATAAAATCTTGGACAGGACCTTGCAAAACGGTCAATGAAAGGAGAGAGGAAGGTTAGGGAGGAGCAATAAAGAGAGACGGGATCCGGGCCGGGCAGCTGCAATGGTTCACAAATCATAAGCAGCCATTGAACCCTAAATTTAGCAGGATACGAGTAAAGGATGAAGAGCGGATGACTGCAGGGCCACCTTTCAGCCCCCCAGAACAAAGCGGCCTGTCTTCCCGTTATTTACCAGAGCCTATCCCTTCAGTGTGTCTCCCCACGATTCTCCCTCACTTGACCTCAAACACTTCTCCCTTCCCAGATTCATTTCGTGTCCACAATTCATCCATCGTTAACAAGCATACTATGGTGTGTACTAGAGCTCACACAAGAGTCATGGAACAAACGCAAGCGCAGCCTTCGTCCTCCAACCTTAAAAGCTCCCCTGAGCAAAGCTCTCCACCTGGTCCAGCCGAATGTCTCACGAACGCAGACGAGGCCCCAAATCCTGCGGCCTCTCTGTCAGAGGAGGAGGACAATGTTTCAGAAACGGAGCATTTAGCAGTCCTCTCAAGGAAGGAAGGATACGCCCATGGGGTCGAAGAATACCAACGTTTCGTCAACGCGGGTGGTGGGACATGGATGATTAGCTTCCAAGAGATTGGGGAACGTTTTTACAAATTGGCCATGCGTGTTGTTGGATGGATGGGTAATTGGGTGATGGCGGATGCTGGGAAAATATCAAGAAAAGAAATGAACATTGTCATTGCTGCCCTAAAGGGGTATTGTGTCCAGGAAGACTGGACAGTTCTCCAAGGATTGCTACCACCTCGTCGGAGTCTTGCAGACCACTTCGCTGAGGCCCTGATCCATAAGGCGATCATGGAAAATGTTTTCTCAAACTCGTTTCAGTATCTTGATGGGAAAACAAGTTCTACGGATCAAGCCGAAGACAAGCGCTTTGCCTCGAAGCTTCAGTACCTCTACAAACGGTTCTTCGATAGTGAGTTGTCCCTTAACACAGAATTTGGTAGATGGGACTGACTGATATGTGTTCAGCCAACCCAAACCTCGCAACGCTATGGAAAGAGCAAACCCATCGACTGGCCAACTCAACAGACCCTGTCAAAGCACCAGGCGACCTGAGCTTTGGGCGGGACAATGCCAAGCGTCTTCTAGCCTGCGCGCCATCCCTGGCTGATGAGATGCTGGCCAGTGAGCCAATCGGTCTACTCCTGAAAAAGCGCCTGGGCCGGAATCAGGTGGCTAAGCGGAGAAAAGAGCTTATTGAGATCTTTGAAGCTTCGCTAGGTCTCATGAAGCTTTGTGAAACGGGGGTGGGGGGTCACTTCAAGATGAAGCGATTGTCGGAGCTAGGACCGTTGTACCAATGCGGTAGTTCCTACATGATCTTCAACCTCTGCAATGGTGATATTGTAGATGAGAGGGACTTTGAGGGTCGTAAAATACTTCTGGTCGTACGGCCAACTATCATGTACACTGATAGTGCGCCTAGCGAGCTAGATTCCCCCTACAAGTCCATGGCCGCTATTGTTTCTAAGGCTAGTGTTGTGCTGGACAAAGGGGATGAGGCCAAGGAAAGTACCACAGCCGAAAGAAGGATCATCATGCGAGCTACACGTTTTGAGGAGGGGGAGGTCTGTGTCAACACGTCGGAGATGTTCTGATTATTGGTGACGAATCGGCTTTTTCCTTTTTCTTTCCAGTTTTCCAGTCTTTCTCTTCATGCTTGGTTCCATGGATGTTAATAAAAACAGAATGAAATCATCCCTGTTATTTTACAACTCATTTCACTCACCATCATTGAAGGAGTAGCCTTCCAACAAACGGGCACTCATGAGTTGACCGATGATCTTAATCCCGCCCGAATGTCTCATCTGGAGGCTGAGCGGCAGCAACAGTCCAGCATTACCATTCTCTCCAGCCTCGTATAGCTTGCTAAATTTATCGCCAGTCAAATTCCTTGTGTGACCAATGACATGGGCACGTTGGAGGGTGAAATATAGGATGAGGAGGAATAAAGTCCAGCCATTCCCTCGCTGATCCATTGAACAAATGATTCGTATTATTGTGCAACCCGGTCCGTTTGCCAGGTCCACTGTGGCTATAATCACTTCACTCTGAAATCATCCAAATCGTCGGGTTTATGCGGATTACTGCCCAACACATGAGACGAATGTTGACTCTGTGGACGATTTCTGGATGGATGGGCCTGGCCTTGGAACAAGCTGTGCTTCATCCCTGTACGTTACCGTAGGAGGAATAGCTAAATGGATTGATTGAAGGACCTACAGGGAAAGTCGACTGTCTTAATGAGTTGCTTGATGGTCTACCAGCTATGGTGAGATTCAGTGCATGTACCTACGATGATGAGACTAAAACATTTTTATTCTTCTTGGAACACAAAGGGCTTTGGTTACCCAATCCAAATTATGTGCCTGACTGACTGTAAAAAAAAGTACGAATGGGAAGGTAGTCTATGGGCACGCCAGCAGTCTTAATGATGAAATAATCTGGAGTGTGAACTCAAGGAGTTAAGATCTAGAGTTATCCGGTTTGGTAGGGTTGGGATGTTGGACCGGCTGAGCTCTTGTAGAATGTGATGATTGGGGCTGTAAAGGTGAAGTTTGAGCCAAGGATAAACAGTATACCCGCTGGCCCCGGTCTTTGGACCCCAGACAACGTTCCGATTCCAGTTGTTCTCATACCCAATAGTGGTAGGGAAAGCAGTTGTTTGGTCGATGGTGAATGAACTGATCAGAGGCCTCAACATTCGTTGGGGATTCGATTCGGTGTGCATTATCCCTACACCCGACCACGAGACGTTAACTGGGGCAGAGAGTCACAGAAGGTAGTATGATAAAGATCTTACGGGTCTCAGTGGTGCCAATATCAATGCCAAAAATTAGCTTTTTCTCAGCTGCTGCAGCAGACATCTTCACACAAGGATGGGTGGGGAGCTTTGGTAAGGAAAGGGGGGGGGGGGGGGGGGGGGGGGGGGGAAGGAGTAAAACAATGGGTCACAGTATGATTGGAGTTTTGGAACTGGGGTAAGGGATGGGGTAACAGACAAGAGTCCAAAGAGAGAGAAAGACAAGAAAGACTTGACTTGTACTGAGGCGGGAAGGTATAAGGGTAGGGAGGGGAAAGAAATAAAGAGACAGACAGACGGCAGATTCCCCTGCTTTGTTCTCGCTGCCTCGAATTGCAATCAGCCATGGAACCCTAAGCCCGGTCGGAATACGAGGAGCGGACGAGGAACGGATGACTGCAGGGCAACACTCCGGGATATTTTGGCCTTTCAGCTTTTCCGAACAAAAGAAAAAGCTGTCATTACGGGAAAAAGAAAGGGACTTTCTGGCCTCGACTCTCCTTACCACCCTATCACTTTCTGACTTTCTGACAACTTACCCCTCGCTTAACGTTTTGTCTTTCCCTTATCTAATTTCTGGTATCTATCTAGGCTCTCACTCTCATAAGTTGTACTATGGTGTGCACAAGGGCCCAATACAGGGCTCGGCAACAAGCACAGGAGAATTTCTCATCTTCCAACTTTGACGGCCTCTCCCAAGAGATCTCGTCTCCGAAAGCTCCTAGGACCCTTGAAAACGCTGAAATGCCTAGAAACATCGAAACCCCGGGGGACACTAAGACGCCCGAAACTACCAAGATGCCCCCAATTACTGATGTGCCTGACGAACTTGGAACTCCCGCGAACACAGAGGCCTGCGAAGAACTCGAGATGCCGGAGGACACTGAGATAACCATCCCCAGCACTGCGAGACAGGAGCTGGACGACCAATTACACCCTCTCTACGCGTATGACTTTCTAACCAGGGATCAATACCTGGCTAGAGTCAGATCCGCAGAGCGTCTTTTGAATACTGGAAGTGAGGGCTGGGATTTGGAGCCGCCACAAATCCGACAAAGATATCAGAGGTTGAGGATCCGACTTACTTCTTGGATCCTCTACTTTGTAAACAACGACGTCGGGAGTTTACCAAGCGCAAAAACAAATCTCATCATCGCCAGTCTGGAGGGGTATTGTGTCAAGAAGGATTGGACTATCCTGCAAGAACAATTGCCAGCTACCGTTCACAAGCGCCTTGGAACTCTCTTCGCTGAGACCCTCATCAACAAGTTCATCATGGAGAAGATCTTTTCGAACCCATTTTGGTACCTTGACGGGAAGGTGGATCTCGCAGACCAGGGAGAAGACAAATGTTTCCCAACAAAGCTGCATTATCTCTATCAGCGGTTCTTCAAGAGTGAGTCCTACTTTGATCCCAGTCCTGATCACTGCTGAAAGCTGACTGACAGACGTCTAGCTAACCCAACGTTTGCAACCCTCTGGAAACAACAAACGCATCGACTGGCTAATTCGACAACGAATGAGCACACAAATGGCGATCTAAGCTTTGGACAAGAGAATGCCAACCGTCTCACGGCTCGCGCACCCTTTCTGGTTGATGAGGTTCTGGCTAGTGAGCCACTCAGCCTGTTACTCAGGGGGCCCTTGAAGAAGGATGAGGCCCTCGAGCGGCGAAATCATCTCATTGGTGTTTTCAAACAAGCCAGCACTGTGATGCTTACCTGTGAAGCATATTTGGGTGGTCATTTTGCGATTCAACTTCTGCCAGAACTTGGACCGTTGTATGACTGTGAGAGCGACTACATGACCTTCCTCGGCTATGATCCGGAAAGTAGTAGCGACAAGTCCACAATGAATGGCCGTGAAATAATACTTGTAGTACGGCAGGGCATTGTCTATTCACATATGGTGCCTAACGTAGCTTCTGACTACGATTCTATAAGCACCATTGTTGAGAAGGCTACAGTAGTGCTGGCAGAACAGACCAGCGGAAGCGAAAAGGCGGAATCCCTAGAAGGGGATCCAGGCATCGAAGCTGCCGACAATGATGAAGGAAGGGTAAACCCGGAAGCCTTGAAGCAGACGCATTTGGGGGATACAGCTTCGGGACGGGGTCACGTAATGGTAATTAAGGCATGGGAATGACTGATCTCTTCTACCTCTATTTTGTTCTTTCAATCTGTACTTTCAATCTGTGCCTCTCTATTCTCTTCCTCTCTATTATTATTGTTATTATCGTCATCATTATTATTATTATTAGATTTCCATCACTATATCCCCCCCCAAAACTCTCATTTCTCCCGCCCTCGGTAATAGTTAGCTTCAGATACTAAATGCAAACTTTCTTGCGGCTGTACGGCTCGTTTCACTAAGCACCTTTCAGATTATCCCTCCGACAAACGAGCAGCGAGGTGAGTTGACCCATCATTTTGATTCCGCCCGAATGTCTCATTTGAACGGTGCGCAGGAACACCGGTCCGGTATCTCCAATCTCCCCACCCTCGTACGGCCTGATCGCTACTTACCATTCATTAAGCATTGTGCAACAAATGACGTGGGCTCGTCGGAGAATAAAGAGATCGAACGGGGAGGAGCAATGCCTAGCATTTGCTCGTAGATACATCGAACAGATCATTCATATCGTTATGCAACTTGCTCCGTTTGCCAGGATTCGGTGTGGCTGCAATCCACTGTGGTCTGGGAACATTCAATTGTCAGGGTTACGTGGATTGCTGCCCAACTCATGAGGGAGACGAATCTTGGCCCTGGTGACCATTTCTCAATGGATAGTTCTGGCCTTTGAACAAGCTCTGCTTCATCCCTGTACGTTACTGGAAGTTCCCGTTCCTTTCCGCACGGCTTACGCCATATTGCCTCTTGCCTTGAATACGAGCGCCTTAAAACTGCCACCACTTCTGCGATATGATCTGGCTTAGCCTCTCAGGGCACGTAAGAGTCGATGAACCTCGTATCTCTCACACTGTAGCCTGAATGGTGGCGCAAACCTTTGGTTTGATGCCGGTACTACCTTGTGAATGGCACTTGGGTGCTGCTTCTCGCGGTCGGAAGGCCAATGGGAAATGGTCGCTGACTAGGTCCGACTTCCGCGACTGAGAGTCCCGGTGCTAGGTGAAATTACTCCGTGGAGAAGGCTTTTTGACGATAAGCTGCTGGTCCAGACTTTCCCGAGACGCGTAACGCCATGCTGACGTCCACTGTTAACAGGTCGATCATCCGGCCCCTTTCCGTTTCCGCGGCTTCGGCGTTTGCTTCTTCGGACTGCTTGATCTTTCGGCTTGTGGCATCAAGAATCAACCCATGCAGGTTACTTCCATCACAAACGAGACCGTCGCCCGGTCGTATTGACATGATGTGTATCGTTGTTCATTTCCTGATGACACTAGGGTTACATTGTGGGTTGTGGGATGTTACCCCTATCGTGAGAACAGTGTTCGGATATTGATAGTAAGCTTTCCAGCGTGCCGTCATCACTGCAAGTGTGTTTCAGAGTCTGAAAGCTTTCTGATTCGAGCCCTGTAGCAATCATGAGAAGAGAAAAAGCCAAATCTGTAGCAAAGGCTGATGATGCTACTCTACCTCGTCGGAGATGAGCCAGTTTTCGGTGCCTCACATGACACGACGAAATGCCCTGACGTTGTGCAACCTTAGCAATATTGTCGATCTTTGCACAGAGACGAAGTGAAGGCCAGACTCTTGGGCCGGAAGTCCAGCTTGATTATGGATATCCCACATGCCGATATAGATGTTTACACTTTGTTCACAACACGCGAGAAGGTAGTTGTCAGTAACTCGCTGTAAGCACAGGTACATACTCCCATCACGTGGTTGAGTGCAGATCGGCTAGACCGTAAAAGTAGCTCCGTTGACTGTATTTCTCCCATTATTTTACTCCGCCAGTCACGTATCAACTTTTCAGGTCAACCCATCAGTTACAGTCAGATTACCGAACTGGCTACCAAGTTCATCCTTCACAAGTTGGCGAAATGCGCATATCTGTGAGCGATTATACATCATTTGTTTTTTTCTTTGTCTCTACGTAGCAGGTATGCCCAGCGTTCTACGAATTTTTACCATGTATGACTTAGGGATGGCGTAGTATTATGGTCGGGAAATACGAGAAAATACCAAGTATCTTTGATTATTTCGGTTGCCTTTAACCTGCTATGAATGGTCTTGCCAGTCACGTGCCGTAAAGTAATGTTATCTGCCCCTAGTGTATAATTACCAATACAAACAGTATTATTTTTAGGTGGCTAATCAAGGAACAACCGGCATTGGCATATAGATCAAACATCCTTTGGATTTCTTGCCTAACTAGTGAGGGTCACCAGCTTCTTATGGACTACGTATAACATGACTGATTTGTATCTCTGAAAGGGTCGAAAGACTCTACTTGTTCGCAATGGTGGTGCTTACCGTCACGTGTAAGTACGTGGGATTCATTTGACTGCTCGCAAAGGGTCAAGTGACCTTTGCAACTTATCACGTGCTTTGAGACCTTTCTCCAGCATCGTGTAATCATAGAAATGATCACATGACTGCGGTCGCGCGGTCGCGGATAGCAGTAGGTGCAGTCTTAGCCAGGATGTTCAATTCGTATGTTTGAATTAATTTCAGTCTTTTGTCTGTCGAGGAAATGAGCAAAGGCGGATATGTAGACTAGGGATCCTTACCGAAGCACATGTAATTTCGACCACAACTTTTGCCTAAGGCATGATGGGCTTTATAGGCGGTGAGTATTCTGCAAGATACGCGAATTATAGTAGGAGGCGGTGTAAGCGACCGCGAGAACAGGAGCCTTTCCTGATCGGGTCAACGTGTTCAAATGTATGCCTGGTGAAAGGGGCATCAATGATTGGCATCCAGGCACTTGTTGATGCTTATCATCTCACCATCCATGCCAGTATCACCAGACGTAAGAGCCATATGCATATCATGACGATCTACAGCTTGCTTACCTCTCGTATGTTTAATTTCTTGTATAGAGATGCCTGACTAGGAACTCCAAAGCATTACTGCGACCAGCCTTGCATTTTGCATACCACTCAGACCAACATTCACAACACTGAGCATTCACTGATGACAACATTCTTATCACGAGGTGCAATACTTGTTATAATTGAGCTGTTACCCCCTTCTATTCCCATCTAACACACCAAAGTCGTCACATAATCCCATCTTCTAAGCTAATTACCAACACCTTCTACCTCTCACCGCACAACTTCATCGGACCATGTATTGGACCTACGAAGCCAACGCCAAGGTAAGCGAGCAGACCCTACACATACACAATCTATGACAGACACAACTGACAAATGAAAGCTCTTGGTCGGTGTATTGGAGCAGATGCGTGGGAAGCTCAAGCTAGATTACGAACGACTTGCCACCCACATGGGCAGCGGTACCTTGAACCCTAGTATAAATCCATATTTACACCAAAGCTAATCCAGACAGATTGCACTGCATGTGCGATCGAACAGCAGATAACAAAGCTCAAGCGTCAGGCGAACAACTCCAGTCCCACCAAGAGCACTGCCGGCAGCTCGGGTAACAAGTCGACCTCAACTACTACTCCGTCTAGTATACCCAAGAAGCGACAGCCTGATATCGCTTGCATTTTTCACAAGCGTTCGGCTAAGAAGACCAAGTTGGATGATAAGGATGCACCCGTCTCTCCTTCTAAATTGGTAACTGTGAAGCGGGATATCGAACCGGATATCGTCTTTGTTAAGACAGAGACTAAGTCTATGGTCATGGAAAAAATCAAGGAGGAAAGATCGTGATTGATTCCAGGTCAATATCTCTCTGTTAAGTATTGGGCGCTGGGTTAAGGGAGGAAACACCGATGTGGAATATGTTTTCTTTGAAGAACAACACGAATAGCTGAAGGACTAAACTCATACAATCAGTCTAATGTTTGAATGAAATAACAACCCGCTGCTCGAAACGTCTCATGAGCCATCAATGATTTCAATTCCAACACCCTGGGTTCCTCGGTATGATTATAAGCAGAATCGAAGGAATTTATTTATATTGATTTAGACTACTAAAGCCAGACGACAATATTCCACATAGGATGAATATGTATGTTTGATCTGCTAAACAAAGAAGTCAAAGTAGACATTGTATCAGTTACTCAGATCTGACATTAATAAGAATAGTCCATTATCACGACCTCGTTTTACGCTACTTCCTGTAATTATGGCACAATACCCACAACCGCTCCTCTACCCGTTAGTTTCTTGCTGAAACATTCGCATCCAAAGTGGCCAGCCACTATAGCAAACCAATGGAAAACCCCTCTCCGTTGACAGTCTCTATTCTTTGTTGTGGCTCCATGCATTCACAGGCCTCGTCCCTAGCACAGGTCGGCATCGGGTTCCTTTGTTATCTCTATTTCCGCTGCCCTTTTCTCGGACTCTTTGTTACCCTTGGCGTCTCTCTGAGGGCCCGTTATTTGCAGCATTGCACGCTTGCCTTTGCTTTTGGGAATGCCCCAAGGTGGCAGAGGGTTATGGAGTGACGATGTTGATAGCCACTTGTTTGAATGGGTCATGACGAGACAGAACTAAAGTAGTATAGCCTATTAATGTAGGATTGAATGTATTGTGGATTGTATCAGATGTAGGTCTCGATATCAGGTTTGTACCTGGTATCTTCTGACATGGTCACTTTTAGGATATAATTCATCCAAATGACTTGTTCTACCTGAAAAAAAATAGATGTCAATAATATTGCATTCCCATCGATATCAGATGAGAGCTATATTCATATGTCAAGGGAGTTGCTTGATGGCTAGCCCCCTTTGTAGCAGATCAGCTATATGCGCAGCGGATCATGGAAAGGAAGCACAGTGGCTGGGTTGATAAGTGCCGAGCACAGAACAATCAAGGTAGTTCTGATCTTGACTATGTGCTGGCTGTGATGTTAGTAGAGACACTTTTCAACTGTTCTCCGTAGAGTCAAGGATTTCGAGGAAAAGATATACGGAGTATGAGTGTAGTATATTATTGAACTAATATTCTTTTGAAACAATTCATATTGTCTGGTCTTTTGGATCTAACAGAATATTCTTTGATGGCCGAGTACAATGAAAGGGAAAGCAGACGTGAGCGGAGGAGAAGGGAGCTTTATATAACTGCTAGACGTAGTGTGAATACGAGAAGACTAATTTGGAGAGTGAACAGTAAGATCATAAGTACGTGAGATGAACTGAATGACTGTAGTGAAAGACCACTTGTCAATGAATATGTGACAATATCCTAGATAAATACCTTATCGAGAAGGATATCTGAATATGTAGGCGTATACATCAACTATAGCCATGAGACACCTCTACTTTGTAGGAATTTACTCGTCTATCTCTATCCACAGACTACCGAAGAGTTCATCGCTCAAATCTTCTGCACCCGACGCGTCTCCCCATCAACAGCCCGCAACAGTACATACAGTGTCTCCAACACCGGCGTAGGAACCCCCAACTCTCGCCCCTTACGCACTGGTGTACCCACAATCACCTCAATCTCCATCGGCCGGTTATTCTCCCGGTCGATCTGCATACTCGTTCGGACTGCCCCCAGACCTTGAATTCGTGCCAGTTGGGTGTCGATCAGATCATCCGGAAGAGGAACACCCGCAGCACGAGCCACAGCTGCGGCCTCGCTCATGAGTCGTCGCGTGAAGGGAATGGCATCAGCAGAGGATTGCAAGAATGCTTGCGTGTCCAAAGCGGTCAGGGTCGTCAGGGTGTTCCAGGCACAGTTCCAGATGACTTTGGACCAGCGGGTGGGTTGGATGTCGTCGTGCACCGTGTGACGAGTCTGACCTGCGGCGAGGAGGCCAGTGAAGGTGTTGAGACGCTCAGCCTCCACAGCATCTGGAACGTTGGGGTTCGGGTAAAGGCCGAGTTCGGTGTCTTCGGATGTGGTGTGGATGACGGTGCCTGGGGTGGGCTGGGATGCTCCGACCCATGTCTGGGCGAGGTCAGTGGGGTTGGCTGTTGAAGACGTTGAGGATTGGGGAATAGACATACAACGCAGGAGATGATACTGCAGGATGGGTAAGCCTCGCGGAATGGCTCTTCGTTTCCCACGCCGTTCTGGATAATTACGATTGTGGTGTCCTTGCCAATTGCCGGTGCTAGCGAATGGACGGCGCCGGCTGGGTCAATGGCCTTGTTGGTGCAGACAACATAGTCGACTGGGTGGGTGAGTTCTGAAGGCGAGCGGACCACTTTGCGATCGGGTTAGTTGGTGATGCTGGTTGTGACTGCGTGAGGGAGCAGTTACCGTGGTCTGGATAGAATCGATGCTCGCCGTGATTGGCACTTTTCAGAAGGATGCCCTGTGTGGTAGTGAGTTTATGGGGTTTTGTTCGAAAGCCACTGAAAGAGACTCACATTCTCTTTGACGGCTGCGTAGTTGGACCGGGCAACCACGGTAAGACGAACTTTGTTACTACGATGCAGAATAAAGGCGTAGAAAGAGCCAATGCTGCGATTCAGTTAGATTCATCGCCAGGCAGAGAATTGGAGGAGATTGCATACGCCCCTAGCCCATAGAGAAGGACATCAACCTGGCTGGCCATGAGCAACAAATGATTGAAAATAAACTGAATTAGAGACTGGACTGACTGACAGGCAAATAAGAGGAGTAATAGTAGTGACAGTAGTAGTAGTAGAGCCAAGCTATAACAAATGCGGGGGTGCTTCCCCGCTCGGAACAAGTCCGAACTCGTCGGGAAAGTTGAAAAGGCTGTTGAACCCAGTAAGATGCTGCATAAATAGGATAAAGTCAAAATTTCTTTTCAGATCTATGTACATGATGCAAAACTCCGAACCACCCCGGTCTATCCCGTTCGCCAAATTTTTGTGGTATAATAGTACATCCGTAATCATATCGCATCACTCATGATGATCGGGCCCAGGCTCAAATCTCGACTCTCCAATGGGCTGCATCTCGATCACTTCCGGCCCTTTCGCCGCGTCAGTTCCTCCATCTGGTGGTTTGTCGACCAGCCCAACCGCCTCTTCGTCGACAGCATACCGCCACCGCCCATCCGCCTGTAGGAACATCCGAAACCCATATCGCTTGTCCAGCCGAGTCAGATGCTCTCGCCGCTGCTCATTGGTCCAAGAATAGGTGTTGCGAAAGTCACCCAGCATGCGGCTGTGCGCAACCCAGGGAATGATCGCTCCAATGGATCGTGGCATCCGGGGCCCGCGAAACCGACCGCGTCGGGTGCCGAAGACGACTAACACGACCAGCGTGTCTAGCGCAATGATCACCAGCGCCATGGCCAGCGAGGGCACCGACGGGACCATGGTCCACGTATTGGAGATCTCCGTGGCATTACCGGCCGACACCACCTCATCCAAAGGCACCAGATACATGTTTCGCCAGATCGTGAAGTAGGTGCTCCATACCCACTGATACACAACCTGCGACTGTGTCATCAATTCCAAGGCGTTGAGCGGAACAATCTTCTCGTGCTGCCGGTAAAGACGGGCCACGAGAAACCCTGCCCAGTCATATGACGAAACATAAGACCGGTTCCGTCCCGGTTCCTCCCCCACGAAGCTCTGAGGGATGGCGGCAAAGACCTTGTTAAATTGGCCAAGAGCCATCGTCGCATTTTCATACATGGTTCCTGACGTGGTTTCCGTACCAGGAATCGGGTCTATGTCGGATATCTGACCCCGTCGGTCAAAGGTCACGGAGAAATTTTGAAGTTGCACATGTGGTTCACATTGGAGCGCAATGGTGTTGTCATCGGTGAAAGGTGACTCCGAGGTATAATTCCACCGTCCAACCACCAGCACCGTCGACATCTGACACAAATCGGTGTCCGTGTCCGCCACCGGAGAAAGAAAGTGGATGGAGAGGGCAATGGCGTCGCTGGGGCGTACGAGCGACGTCATGTTAACCCTACACTGCCGGCTGACATCACGCGACGGTCGATAGACAAAAAAGGTATCCTGGTCGTCTTCTCTCAAGTTCTGGGATGTCTCCAAGGTTTTGCAGTCCAGATCACTACCGATTCCGAGCGTGGTCGCCCCGTACATCAGGTCAGGGTCCGAGTCGGTGTTCTTGATCGGAGCAAATGAATGGTTCGCAGACATCCATGGCAATAATGGTACACCGCTAGTGGCGCTGTTCTGGATCAGATCAAACTCCGTGAAGTCCGGAGCGAAGTCTGTCCGTAGGAAATGGGAGTGGCTGTAATTGACGTAAAGAGATGTTGACGGGAGATAGGACTCCGTCAGTCTCTGCGTGAACAGACCACCGGCAACAACAGTCAGCAGGATGTTGGCGATGCAGGCAAGTGAGACGAGGCTTAGAAGGGTATGCCGATTCCGGATGGCTTTTCGTAAGATCGACCAAGGATTCTGTGACGCATAATTCATAGACAGCGACGTTTGAGCGGCCACCATGCCGCGCTGAAGGTGGACCCACGGCTCTAGAATGCTGATGTTGCGAAGGATCGAGTTGCATAGAGCCGCCACGGAAGATGCGACAACAGATGGGAGAAAGGAAGTTATGGCCTGCAGTAAACTGGAACTGGACTGGGAGAGATGTTGAAAACTCCCGTCGTGGGCAAGTGTGGCTGCCGTCACTCCCATCACAGCGATGACGGCAGCGAGGAGAAGAAATTCGATGATGAAGATGGGTATTACCAAAAAATGCGGCATTGGGTCGACACGTGTCCGCAGTTGCTCACTGAGAGTGACCGGGGAACCTGCTCTAATTAGCTTGAAGTCCACAGGGCTTGGAGTATATGGACTGACCGTCTGCAGTTATGATCTCGAGTCGGGGTCCCGTTGGTCCCTGTTGCCATCGAAGCCAACAGTTTCGCAAGACTTGACGTAGCTGCCGTGTCGAGAATTGGTGGAATTCAGGTTGAGGATTCGCAAGGATGTTGTAAGGTGTGAAGACATCAGTCAACATGCTACACATAGCACCGATAGAGCTCGGGTCACTCTGTAGGATGTTGGGTCGGGTTCCGTAAAAGTAGAGGAGAGACATGGTGAGACAGATGGCGATTGCCAAGATCACCTCAGAAAACAACGAGGCGAACGACACAACTGCAATGGCAACTTGCGTGGACTCCCGTTGGGCCGGTGCATTGGTCGGGTTCTGGTCGGGGTTAAAGAGCCGACTCATTGTAAGCACAAACGTCTCCGCTACACTTCGTTTGACCTTGCTCTCGAATTCGTCCGTCGTCATGACGGTCGATGCATCCAATACCAGAAGCGGCTCGAGGTCGCCCAGGTCCTGGCTAATCACAGGCAACTCTGTGACTGTCGTATCACCGGTCGTCTCATTCAATTCGATAAACAGCATGTCGCCCGTATATGGTGCTCGCTGGGCCAGGAGATCCTGGAAAGCGTCAATATTGAGCTGGTCTGTTCCCAACCCCCGTTCGGTATCAGAGTATCCATAGATGTTTGTGATTGAGCTGTTAGCATGCATGGAGACCTTGGCCTCCGCCTGTCGATATTCAACCTTGCAGCCAAAGATGCCGGCAGATGAAGTGAACTCGGAGCCCAACTGACTGATGCTATTCGCTCCGGCCACCGTGGCATTGACCGAGATGACGACACCATATAAATCATAGGGATCATCGCAGCCACGAGTGGTAAAGGACTTTCTACGGCTGTAGACAGGTTGCGACTGATTGTTCCACACGGGCTCCCAGTACCGTACCTGCAAGTAATCGGTTGTCGGAAAGAAAATATTGCTGTAGTGAAAGTCTAATGTGCATGTCTCGTTCGTCCCGGGGATATCCTGCAGCTGCACGCCCGTTACATCCCACGAGAGAATAGGTGGATCGCTCGATGTGTCATTGATGGAAACAGATAGGTGGTCATGTGCTACAATGTTGCGACACTCCATTTGAGACCAGTAGATGGTTTGATTGAGCGTCCAAACCGTACTTTCCCGCCGGTCTTCCATGCTGATTTCGACGGGTGCTACTGCGTAGCTGGAGGACTGAGAGCTATGCAGGTTGTCACGAGCAGTAAGAACGGAGTCCAGAGCCAGGGTGTCATTGCTTTTCTGCGCCTTGATCCATACAGCCTGGGTATGTAGGTCCAGCAGCTGGGGCCAAGTCTTGATGTTCTCGTTGCTCACTACGGTGATTTCACGGAGTTCGAGAAGGGTGCTTTGCAGAGCTGGAAGGAGCACGCGGATGAGCAGGGTAGCGACAGACACGAGCAATACGACCCAATGGCCTCGTTTGGCCGAGGTGAGCGGCGTAAGAAAGGACTGGCCGAAGTTGTAATTGATGAAGAGAACCGATGCCGGCGCACCCTCCGGGCGAGAAATTTGGAAGTATGGCTCGAGGCGAAGAACATCATAATCGATGAAGGTCCACAGGGTGACAAGAATGAGGGCAGCAATGATGGGAAGATAGTTGTAGGCGAACGACTGGGCGTCAGACACGGTATCGGTGTCTGGGAAAAAGTATAGACCTCCATACTGATCGCTATACCGGCGAAGTATCTCGAGCGTGATCAGCATCGCAAACATGATCGCAGCAATCCAACAGAGGTATGCGGGACGCAGGGCAACAGGCCGCCATCCCCCCGAAGCAGTGGGTTTTCCATTATGCAGGCTGGCGCGGATGAGGCCAAGATGCTCTAAAGGCATGAAACTGGGTCAGTCCTGCTGGAAGACGTGTAGATAGCCAGTAGAGGAGCATGCGATGGGCAGTATTAGACTTACGGGAGATATACAGCCGGACATCGGACAGACTCTTTTCCAGGCCTCCGAACATGCTTGAGGGGCATGCTCTTTTGGGGGCAAACGGCGGTGTCGGAGGCGGACCGGATGCTGTGTCATCGCCCAAGGGATGGCTCATGGAGGGAAGTCGACGGGGCCACGGAACGGGTTCATCTCTGGAGATGGGTGATGCGACAGACAAACGGAAAGGACATGGTCGAAGCTGCCAATAACCTTCCTAGCGACGTGACGAACGCGATGTAGGGGATTGAGAGGGGGAAAAGAAGCGAAAGGAGAGAGAGGAAGAAGGACGAGGAGGGGGAGGAGAAGCAGGCGGAGTGAGGAAAGAGAGGAACGGCGAGAAGAGGCCGCGAGGATGACGATCGACGTTTGAATCTCGCCGGCAATTCTTGATTTGCGTAGTCGGTGGGGGTCACGGGCTGCGGCAGGGGGGGGGAGGGACTTAGTACTAAGTAATACTAAGTTGGCTGTTCACTGAATAAATGTTTGCCGTTTTGCCCGTTTAGGCTGGTGACTCCCCACCCATTGGCCCATCACAGACCGCACAGCAGCCGTCTCTCCCCCAATCAGAATCTGACAGGGTCTGAAATGTAAACTCCATTGGTTCGTCAGGGACTGCTGGGTGGGGGCTATACTCTGGGTAAGGGCTCAGGCACTAAACCCAATCGGCTAGGCATCGACCACCGTCTGGGCCAATCTGGCGAATAGCGGGCTAGACAGGGCACCTCTTCGGGACTAGCGAGCGCAGGGTTCCCGATGTAGGGTCTTGGGGCTTTGTTGAGAGTGGGCAGAAGTGGGCTGACCGCACCACGCTGGGAACCCACAATGGAAGGGAAGAATTCGGCTTTGACTGTCTGGACTCGGGCCCAAATATCCACTTTCTGGTCCTGAGGATCCACTTGAACCCTTCGTGGAAATAGTCACGTGAGGAATAAGAAATTGGTATCGAAAAAGACACAACGCATCATGTTTCTTGGTATGACTGTATCTTGTCTTTGTCAAGTCAGTATTGTCACATGGCTCTAAAGATGAACACTGTGATATTATTAAGCAACAACCAGATTATCGAAGGTGCCTCCACGATATTCGTCTCCTAGCACTGCGATATATATATATATATATATATATATATAGGTGATAAGGACATTTGGCAGTACTAGATCATCTTCAACTTCTCAGCGTTTCGAATTCTGTAAAAGTAGCAGTCATTCCTCAGGGTAACTTGATATTTGACCTAAATTAGGTCAGCTCCTACACTCGCATGCATCCTCACTAATCAGTTCATTTACATCTAACTGTTAAGTAACATCTCGCACAGAATATAGAGACGCTGCCACAAAATGTCATCAATCCATTTTCTATCGCTCGAAACTCGCCAGATCATCCTCGGTTACCTTGATATCGACTCTCTACTCTCTGCCATTCGCAGCTGTCGGCCATTCTATCTGGCTTACGAGGGGTATGAGGCACCTGTATCGAAGTCTTGCCTGTATACTACCATCACGCCCGAGATACTACCATATGCCATACTCACCCTAGATATCGCCAAGTCCCCGCACGGGGATGTGATTGAATACCACAAGCTAATTAGAAAGCGATTGGGGAATCCCACGGAGAAGCTCCGCAAATGGAGTTGGGATCTATCTGTAATGAAGGAATCACTCTTCGTCCACAGACATCTCTCCTTTTTCATAGACTATTACAGCAAGAAGGCGCTGGAAGAGTTCCACAACTCGTTCGGAGAGACAGAGGTTTGTGTTCCCTTATCGCGAAATGAATGGGCCCGCATAGCCCGATCATTCTACGCTCACCTGGTTATACGGCAAGCATGCCTGAATTGCTTTGTTAGGCTGAAGGACTATGAGTACTTCAGTAGAAGCTGTACTTTCGAATCCCTGGTGACGTCTGTGGCTGGGAAGCTATTGTTAAACTGCATTGACCTGGAGCAGCTCTACATCGTGAGCGCTTATTTTGGTGACATCAAATGTAAGTTGCACACTCCTAGCGGTATCGGCTTGGACTCTAAATGGTTGTTAGTTACTAAGGGCCCGATTCGAAGACTCTCCCGCGTTGGATATCTTCGATATTATAATGAGGGGGCCAGTCAGTGGTCAAAGAAGCATGTGAGACACGCTACGGTATGCTCCCTTATTTCAATTCTTTGCTCTTACCTGGTCTGATGTATCTTCGGCTCTTCTAGGATTGCCATCAAGCTTCCATGCTGTTACTGGCTCGCCGAGCACTCGATCCAAGTTACTCACACGTGTACCTACCAGTTACGGAGGGCGTACTCCCGATAACATGGAGACTCTGCAATACAAGCATGGAGAAAGGAATTGCCGGTATTTTCCGTGAGCGCGGTCGCTCTCCAGTACCTAACCCCAATCTGGCACAGGCGTGCCTTTCTAGTTTAAGCGTTCGAACATGCCGTGCGGCATTTAGGGAGGATCTCGGAACATATAAGTATGGGATAGTAATGTGGGATAAGGATAGGATGCTCAACTCGAGGCTCAAGGATATTTATCGGACAGATTGCAGCGTGCCTCTAATGTTATATATATATGAGTCCATGATGGTGTCTTCTGCGGAGCAAAACAATGACGCTTCCTTGAATGAGACCGCAGAAATTTCGACGATACTACCGGAAAAGAAAAAGACAGAGAACAAGGCTACCGCGTTCTTCGATGGCTCCCCTCAACAACCGGGACGTCAAGCTGTCTCTCGGGCAGTATCGCCTGACCTCATGTCATGGTGCTCAGATGAATTGCGCGCAGTGAAAAAGGAAAAGGCAATGAGGAGTGATTTGTCAATTGGTGCTCATCATCCAGGAACAAGCTGGGGTAGCCCGCTTGGACCGGTGTCGAGTTGCCAGCCTTATTCTCGGGTTTGCCGGTGGGAGAAGTGATATCATTTAGACCAGCAATCTGTCCTTGCATTTATTTCTCTCACATTTGTTACTTGTTCACTCAAAGTATTGTCTTTTATAATATACGCGGCCTTGCGTTCTCTTATGCATTGGTAATTTAGAATGTTGACCGTGTTTTTTTGACTTCTTGTTACTTTAACCTGTGGAGCATCTGCAAAGTTAGTACCACCGTGATTCGTATGGAAATGATGTTGATTTACCAATTCCCACACATAGCGTGGCATTCAGACGCTGACATTTGTTTAATACAATAACAATAGTGAAACACTTCAAGGGGTAGCTGGCCAGGCCCAGAATAGGTAGGAGTCAAACCTTCTAAAAAACATTCTCAGGTTACTATGTCCATTGAGGTCAGGGACCCACTTCACATGATATGAAGAGCCAGTGCAGCACCTGAGATGTGGCTTTTGCATGTGGCACAGCTATATTATGGACCCGGTCAGGATGCCATGAAAGAGCACAGACCCGAGGACAAGGAATCCAGTGGCTATGCTCAGCTGAAACAAGTACGCTAAAATAAGCCAAGGTCTTGTCATACACTCCGGAACGACCATTGAAGTGTCTCGGCTACAGCAATGTCTTGTCGTTGGGCACTCGTCCGAACAGACTTGTCCACTACTCCACAGTGGATGGAGAATGCCCGGAGCCCCCGGAATTTCGGCGAATCTCGGCCACGCTCTGTCAACCCAGCTGCCGCTGATCATGGCCGAGTGGAGCCAACGGCGACTAGCATCAAATCTAGGATAGACGTACATATGTCAGGCTACTGTTCCGTGGTAAAGAACTCGCGACAAATGTCACCCCAGACGTCCAATTCATGTCTAAACACCATGTCCATGGATGTGCTGGTCATGCTACCGAGGAAAGGCGCTATATCAAAACACCCTTGGCAGGGCTGACAGCAGCGCGACCGCCGGCAAATCACGATGCGCGATAAGCGCTACAACGCATGACCCATGACTTGGCTGACGCAACCCCGCATTATGCCTCTGTCCTTTGATTTGTTGCTGATATAAACGCCGAGTCGAGCCTTTAGGCAGCATACAAATTATATGCGGGGTCAACAATGTGCCCGGGGTATGATAAGGCTCGTATGAAGGTGAAGTCGCATCCATCGTGACATTGCCGGGCTCGGCAGATATGCGTATTGGCGCTGTAGATTACTACCAACGGTTCCAAGGTTCAGGCACCGGACCATGTTCTGAAAAAGGGGAAAATGATAGATTAGAGTTTGAACACAACGCCGAATCTTGGATTCGAAGAAGCCCGTTGTTCCTATTGGTTGTCCGAACAATGCGATCTTTTCATCCTCTGTTGTTCCAATGGTTGCATTCCAGGGCGGTGCGGTGATTGGGCGTTATGCTGAGTCAGAAGCCAGGGGTTTTCATTTTTCCCATGCAAGATCTGTTTTGCCTCTGGGACTTCCCGAGAGAACCGGAGAGATTTTGAGTACCTGAACTTAGTAATGAGGTAAACGTGGAGATTTGATCCTCGATCGTTTGCTCAAATTTGGCAAGTGGCAATCCAGTAGCGCCGATGTATCTCCATTCCCGCCAAACGGAGCATTCATGCACCACTACTGTGCCAAGCGGACGTCGGTGGATCACAGTCGTCTCATGTCCTCCTACCTCTGGGCGGCGGCCCATCCATCACAGTCTATAGGGCTGCTATGGCCCTTATGCCTGCATTTGTGGGCCGACGAGCCATGGTGGCGTCCAGAGAATTGCGCTGTTCAAACTTTGGATCAAAATGCTGGCCGGCATTCCATACATCTGTCTTTGCCTCCGGCAGTTGGTGGGCCGTGAGCAGGATGAAAATATAAATATTCTTGCTTCCTGTCTTTTCCGGCTGTCGCAGGTTCTGAAGTTCACCTTGACAATTTGTAGTCCCCACTAACGCCAACATGTATGGGACTCTTGCCTATCTCTCTTTTTTCCTGACTTGCTCTCTTGCAAGAAGCGTCGGTGATGTACACCAACACGCTGCTCGAACGACCACACAGTATGCTCAGAAGGAGCCGCCGTTGGACACTCCTTGGACGGAGGATGTCGGGACAAACCCGTGGCCCGAGTACCCCCGTCCGCAGATGGCGAGGAGTCAGTGGCAGAATCTGAATGGTATCTGGCAGTATCAGAGTGCTTCCAGCCTGAACGACAGCCAATACCCGCCTTTCGGTCAAGATCTCGCTCAAGAGGTCCTGATCCCTTCGTGCCTCGAAAGTGGACTCTCTGGTAAGTATATCATGCCTTTGAAAGCCGCAGCTGTGCTAATCCCAGACAGGCATTCAAGGAACAAACACGCTCTATTCTTGGTTCAGAACCAACTTCACAGTTCCGAATTCCTGGGGTGGAGAGAGCATTCTCCTCAACTTCGGAGCTGTAGACTATGAAGCTACCGTCTTTATCAACGGAAAGCAGGCAGGTTTCAACCGCGGTGGTTACTTTGAATTTACCGTCGACATTACCCAATATGTCGACACATCGGCGTCTAACGAAATGTTAGTATTGAGTAGCAATCATACGAAAAATTTAGGCTGACCGCAACAGGCTTGTTTTCGTGCATGACCCGACCGATAGCGATGGCTATGTCATCCCTATCGGCAAGCAGCGATTAATCCCGTCGCATATCTTCTACACTCCCTGCAGTGGTATTTGGCAGAGCGTCTGGATCGAAACTGCCCCGGCAAACTATGTGACGCAACTTGATCTTACCGCTGACATGAACGGCCAAGGTGTGTACTTTTCCCATGTTTTGCCTGCTTGGTTTTTGCTGTTAACAGAACAATGTAGTCAATGCCACCGTGCACAGTTTCACGGGCAATGGCACCGCAGTGAACATCTCTGTGTTAGATGGCGACGACGTGGTCGGATCTGCTAGCGGCTTATCCGATCAGCCTCTTCTGTTCAATGTTTCCGATCCCAAGCTTTGGTCTCCGGACTCGCCCAATCTGTACAACGTGACAGTCACCATGGGACAAGATAAGATCTCGAGTTACACTGGCTTCCGCACAATCTCGAAGGGTACTGTGGATGGTGTTGTCCGGCCTCTGTTGAACGGAAACTTCAGCTTCATCTTTGGTACACTTGACCAGGGATACTGGCCAGATGGACTTTACACTCCCCCAAACCGTGAAGCGATGGTCTATGACCTGAAGTTCCTGAAAGACATGGGCTTCAATATGGTCCGCAAGCATGTAAGTAAAGCAACTCTGCGATTCCGAGCAGGGCTAATTGGGTACCAGATCAAAGTTGAGCCAGCGCTCTGGTACCGTGCATGTGACGAAATGGGTCTCCTGGTTATTCAGGATATGCCATCTCTTCGGCCGCTGGAGACCACAGTTGATGCCAACGGCGTGTCTGTAACTATATTGCCCGACGCGGACCAGCAAAATGAATTCGGAAGGCAACTGGAGGTGCTTGTCAACCAACTCAAGAGCTACCCTAGTATCTTTGCCTGGGTAAGTAAATACTCGAATGAGTTGCGCCGTTCGTTCGTGACTGACCTTGCTATCTGCATAGGTGATTTATAACGAAGGATGGGGACAGATTACCAGCTACTATCCCGAATTCAACCTGACGTCGATTGTGAAGCAGCTTGACCCCACTCGACTGGTTGATGCGACATCTGGCTGGCATGACCACGGCGCCGGCGACTTTAGCGTAAGCCACACCCGCAGTGATCTCGAAACTCTAGATTAACCAATTCAGGATAACCACCACTATGCGAACCCCCAGTGCGGCACTCCGTTCTATTCTATCGACTCCAGCCCGTATGACTCCAACCGGATTGGTATCCAAGGAGAGTTTGGAGGACTTGGGAACAACGTTTCGATCGAGCAGTAAGTCGACATGACTCTAGATGCAGGAATGAGACTAATCAGCCACAGCCTTTGGAACAACCAAGAAGCGATCAACAGCATCAATGAGACATATGAGATTGATACAGACGTGGATGCTTGGAACTACCGCAGCCACCTTCTGCTGTCCGAGCTGCAGGATCAGGTCCGCCTGTACGCCTGCAGTGTTGGTGTATGGACTCAAACGGTTGATGTTGAGGGTGAGGTGAATGGATTGATGACATACGATCGGCGCGTCAAGCGGGTGAACGAGACTCAATGGAAGGATGATATCCAGGGTCTGTATGATGCAGCATCCAAGAGGACCAATTCTTCGTCGACGAATTGATGGTACTTTTGTTCAAAGATAGCATGGTTAGGTATATAGTTTTGATATCAATTTGCATATAAATAGAAGCGCTGTGATAGTTCAATTTGATGATTCTACTTCGAGATTGGATGATGGGAAGGTGAGGTGGTGAGTAGGAGTTCGGATTTCTCGTGATCCCGTGATGTCGATCTATGAACGAGACGGTGTATGGTACCAATGTATGGTAAGGCTAAAAGGTCACATCTACTCAAATGTAGCATGTCACAGACTACGAAGCTACAAGTACCATCTACTTGATCGCTAGGAAGGGAAAGACTCATGTTGAGGACAATACACACAGGTAAATGTGCCCATTTTCGATACTGCAGTGCTATGCTTCCCAGGCAACATGAAATAACCCTTAAAGCAGTAAAAGACACCTTAAGTCTGCTGGAGACATCAAGCTAGAGTTAGGGAGACCACTCGGCCAGCCTTACGATTCTATCATACCAAAAGACGCAGCACTCTCCCAACCAGGCCAACTTGCGGGCACATAACTGGTTGGATTCCAAGAACGAAATGAACATGGAACATGCCTTCGGAGCGCTTTCCGACCAACGTGGTAAATGTGCCTCTGGCGAGCAACACGTGGTAGGAGCAAGATGCGATGGCATCGGATATTTTCCCGAAAAGGGAGTTCGACGTCTGGCGAGGATATGGCTTGGCTGACAAGTGGTGCAATCGCGACTTCAAATCCTGCGCAGACTAGCCAAGCATCGGGCATTTAGCCACAGGAAAACCGAGTGCCATTCGCTGGCAAATCCGATCTTGTGATATGCCAAGACTTGGATCCTACCCTCATGCGATGACCTGGGATCGGATCCCACGGCATAATGAGACACCGAGGGTTCAGCATTGGACGCTTCAGGTCCGTGCCACGGGGGTTTCAATTTTTAGTCATCGGACAGGTCATGTCCGAGTCATAACTGGTATCATCCTTGCTGATCTTAATTCTTTTTGTTGTGTCAGACGGTGCACGCGAACTAATTTCCGGGGCTTGAGCTATAGTTGTCGACCGTCCCCAGTCTTACCCAAAGATGTAACAGATTGTATTATTACCAGAAGCGATGTAAGTAACCGGTAAAACGCATCCACAGCGCTTACCTTCAACACTGGTCCATGTAATACCAAACTAACACAGCATATGCTAAGTCCTTTTGTTAGTTGACAGAGAATAGATGAAAAGTGGACACAGACCTGAGCGGTGCTGTTTGCAGTTGCTGTTTTCCAGCCACCACTGTCAGCACCTACTTTCTTACCTGATGGGGTGGGTTTTTGAGAGATGTTGGATAGATAGTCTCTCTCTATCCTGACCATACATAGACTTACTGAGATGTTGCACCATGAGGCTTGTTCTCTGTACTTCAGCCTGAGATATGGGTTGCACGGCTTTACAAGTACGAACCCAGTGGGGAGCCGCAGTAGGGTACACAGTATATCTATCAAGAAAGAGGAAGTGATGCTCAACTCCCTGCAGGAACTCCTAAAATCAACAGATCCGGGAGGGGCGTTGAGGTGGCACCAGTCCGGCTCATGACAATACCATACAGAATACTGGGCGACGCCAGTGTAAATTACCGTCAGGGGCACTAGTTGGCAGGTAAACTTCTGGGGTTCCCCGAGATGCGGGGAAGAATAGGAGATTCCCTGCTTCTGCCCGCGTTTCCCCTTCATCTCCAGCTTTCACCATCCATAGTATCTGCTATGGTTCCAGGGCGCCATGCATTGGTCGTTGGCGACGATAAAAAAGCTTCACCTTAGCCAGGTTACCGCTTGGCCTGGCCTCTCTCTGCTCTGCTCGGGTCCTTGCGCCTCCTCCGACATCACCGTCAACAAGCTTCTTCCATGCGGCTGACCCTTGGCGCATCTTAGTGGTGCCCATTCTCCTCAAGTGGGATTTGAGTGGTGATCCAAGTGGAGCTATCAGGGAGATACCAAGCCGTGGCTTTTACTCGTCCGCTCAGCTTCTCATACTTTCTCGCGAATCCTTCCATTGATCCCTGCTGACACCCATCAACTCCCCCCTCCAGGGTTGGTCCTTGCAAATTAGCACAACCTGCCGCTAAACCTTTCTGTCTTCCCACACAGGGTTTCAAGCCGTGCGTGGACGGGGATCTTGATCCCTTTCATGCCTTAAGCTACGTTCGTCGGATCATCACTGGACTTCGCTCTCCAATCATCGATTCGTTGCTTCCGCCACGAGACACGCCGATGGGCTGGCTGGGGTGATGGGTGGCCCGACCACATACAACGGTACCTTCCTGACCGGTGGCACGATTGGTCCAATCCCCAACTCTAGACGCAGCTCTGACCAGACAATTTTCCGCTCATGATGCGGGGTTCGCTCTTTACCCCCGGAGATGACTCGCGGCTGACGCATGGATGAGTCGGTAGTATATATTAAGCTACCACCACTCTTCCCAGCGTTGCGACTCTCTCTTTCCCCTTCCTTTCCCGGAGCAGCCAAGTCTCGTTGTTGATCAACAGCCGCAATCATGTTGATCGGCAACATCTACGTGATTGCGAGCGTCGCCGTCGTCGGCGGCGGCTTGTTTGGCTTTGATATCTCCTCCATGTCCGCTCAGCTGAGCGAAAATTCCTATCTATGCTATTTCAACCAGGGCCCTAAGGGACCCCCCTTTACTGACGATGAGGACTGCTCCGGTCCCACATCCCTTAACCAAGGTGGCATCACGGCCGCCATGGCAGCTGGATCTTGGCTGGGTGCCTTGATTTCAGGTCCGCTTTCTGACCGCATTGGACGCAAGACGTCCATCATGGTCGGCTGCATCGTTTGGTACGTCAGGCTCTGAGGCCAGTGATGATGGTTGCTAACACCTACCGCAATATCTAGGCTGATCGGCTCCACTATTATGTGCGCTTCTCAGAACATTGGCATGCTGGTTGTTGGGCGGGTCATCAACGGTCTCGCTGTGGGCATAGAATCTGCTCAGGTCCCCGTCTACATCAGTGAACTTTCGCCACCCTCCAAGCGTGGCCGGTTTGTAGGCATGCAGCAATGGGCCATCACATGGGGTATCCTCATCATGTTCTAGTGAGTGAACTCGTTAGGATATAGCGTGGGCCAAACTAATAGCGACAGTATCTCGTACGGCTGCTCCTTCATCGGGGGACAGAAGTCCTACAACTACAGTACTGCTTCTTGGCGGGTCCCCTGGGGTCTGCAGATGCTGCCGGCTGTTTTCCTTTTCCTTGGCATGATGGTCCTGCCTGAGTCTCCTCGCTGGTTGGCGCGCAAGGATCGTTGGGAGGACTGCCACCGGGTCTTGGCTCTCGTCCACGCCAAGGGGGATCTCAGCCATCCTTTCGTTGCGCTAGAGCTGCAGGATATCCGGGACATGTGTGAGCTTGAACGTCAGTTCAAAGATGTCACTTACCTTGACCTATTCAAGCCGCGGATGATCAATCGCACGATGATCGGTCTTTTCATGCAGATCTGGTCTCAGCTGACCGGCATGAATGTGATGAGTATGTCTTCCTGTTCCCGTCCAGTCTTCTATTGGAACAGTGAACTAACGAGGGGTTTACTTTGACAGTGTACTACATCACCTACCTCTTCTCCATGGCCGGGTACAGCGGTGACTCCACCCTCCTTGCCTCCTCCATTCAGTACATTATCAATGTGTTTATGACCCTCCCGGCACTGATCTGGATGGACAAATGGGGGCGTCGTATGCCATTGCTGGTTGGCGCAGCTCTGATGGCCATCTTGATGTATGCCAACGGTGCGATCATGGCGGTTCATGGTACTGTGGTGCCTGGGGGCATCAACGGTGTTGCGGCCGAGTCGATGCGTCTTCACGGCGCTCCGGCCAAAGGTTTGATTGCCTGCACATACCTCTTCGTTGCCTCGTATGCGCCTACCTGGGGTCCTGTATCCTGGACGTATCCCCCTGAGTTGTATCCGCTGCGGCTGCGTGGTAAGGGAGTGGCTTTGTCGACCTCAGGTAACTGGGCGTTTAACACTGCATTGGGACTGTTTACACCCACGGCCTTTGAGAACATCCGGTGGAAGACCTACATCATGTTTGGAGTGTTCAACACCGCCATGTTCTTGCACGTGTTGTTCCTTTTCCCGGAGACAGCAGGAAAGACGCTCGAAGAGACGGAAGCGATGTTTGAGGATCCCAACGGCATCAAGTACATTGGTACACCGGCTTGGAAGACCAAGATGAAGACCCGGCAGGTGGAGCAGTTGGAGCACGGTGAAGTGGATGTGGAATCAAAGATTGAAGCCCGCCACGCAGAGACCACGGAGACTGCTCCCAAGTCGCAGGAGGCGACAGCGTAATATGCAGCGGAAGTATATGCAAGTGAGACCGCGAGGTGTATGTAATGTGTGTTTTACTGGATGGATACCCTCGGAGTGATGTGATAAATTGATTGAAGACCAGAGTAATGGATTGAGGCTACGGAAGCGAGAGGAATGGCAGCGTGAACGGGTTTGCTGATAGAGGGGTGTAGTATCGTGTTGAAGCAGTAATACTAGTAGCCTCGGTCACGTGACCCCTACATACCAAACAACCCCTACTTCTACCCTCGCTGCGCAACCCCTAGATAGGAACACAACACAACACACAAAAACAACTCTCTGCCCTTTCTTTGCTTCCTACGAGTAGACGTTCCAACAGGTTATGAGCCCGGCCCTTTCTACCGTGAAGCTATTCAGAACCGTTAAACGGGATCGTTGACACCAAACGAGGCGGAGAATCTACGGCCACTGCGGTAGTGGTGAACGGGAACGCGCCGGTCTTGGTGATATCAAAATCGTGCTATACAACACCAAATCGCTCTCCCTACGG